ACCCTTGCCGAGTTATTTTCCATATTTATGGACAGGGACTCTTAATTTGATCAAAGGGAAACCATAGTAGTGAGGTTTCAGCTGATTTGAACAATTGTTTTGGTTTTGACTTTTTAAAGTCATGCTTGAGAAAGTGCCTCTTTTTTAAGCGAAGCATTTCCTTTTTTATAATATTACAACATGTACAGGTTTTTGCTCAGGAATCACTGCATGTGTTTTATCTGCAGCTTTGCAAGGCCAAAAGTAAATCATCTGTGAGGTACAATGTATGTTCAAATTCAGAAAAAAAGTAACTGATATACCAGCACTTCTTGTTCAGCCTATCTTAGTTTAATATAAGTAGATCCTCAGTTATACATTAATGGTAACTGTTATTTGAACTTTTGTGTATTTTCAGATTAACAGCATAATGGATAAATCTTTGGAAAACATTATAAGTATCTTCATGGTGTTGTTCCTTGTTGTGGCTTTCTCCCTTATTACAGTTTTCTTTGCAGTGCAGGTTTGTACACATGTAATGTGTTGTATTCTTAAAGGAGAAGGTTACTCTGAAAAGCTTACTTTTTTGTCTCCACCCGTAGCAAGTATTAAAATTATGTTTTTCCACACACTGAAGTTTCAGCCCCTAAAGTGCCTGCTATCCTGAAGAAATTTGTCTTGAAAGAAGTCCAAAATTCTACTCTGGATGCAACCATTTTGAAACTGTAGTTGGCAGTTAGGCCATGTTTACATGTATGTGACATCATTCAGTCCAACTCTAAATTGGTGGGAAGCAGAAAAACCTGCAACTGACTTGGCATTCTTCACAAGGTCAGCAAAATGTGTTTTTTTTCCAAGCAATTATCCACTTCACTATCTTCACCGCTATCATTTTTGGGATTTGAAGCATGTTTGACTCCAAATAATATGGCTCAAGAGCAGCCAAAACCTAGAGCAATAGTTTTATGGCTCATTGGAAGCCATCTGACAAAATCCCATGGACAGAATGACGTCACAAAAATGTGATCTTGCTTTTGAGTACTGTTGAAAATGGCGTTAACAATGCCAAATTTTGGGCTCCTTTGGAGACGAATTTCATAAGGAAAATGCGCACTTTAGAGGCTGAAACTTAGGTGAGTGGCTGAACTTAGTGTGAGGTTTTCACTTGCATTGACAAAAAAATATGTTCTTTGGAGTGACATTGTCCTTTAAGGTTACTGTATACCTTCAGGGGTGTCTTGTGTCCAAGCGATGTAGCGCATCCCGTTTATGCTGTAGATACCTAAACCCCTATATCAAATTAAAGCTTATAGAGCTGGCTATCAAACTATACCAAAAATTTTGAAATAAAATCAATTTCCGATTTTTTCACAGCCACTAAATGCGAGCGTCCTAATCACCTTTTGAAAGCTACAAGTCAAAGCAAATTTTGTTTTTCACCAATTTATTTTTTCTTGGTTTCAGGACAAAAAGCACTAAAAAAGCATGTCTGCGTTTTGCCATATTCAATTGCAGTAAAAAGTTACAGAACATTTTCGAAATGGGATTATAAAAATGTGAAGTGATTGTACGAAATTCGCTCTCGGAGAAAAAATATTTTGAAATAAACAATTCGCAGACACAGTTTGGTTTTTTATATGTTAATCTAGCTACTGTCCAATTTTGAGGGCAATCAAACAAATTCCCTTTGAGTTGTAACTCTTTAAAGTGTCTGCTTCAAGCGAAAAAATTCATTCCAGAAAACAGGAAACATCTCTTGCCTCGCAAACATCGCCCACAAACGCCTTCAACTGGGTTCTCAGATCACTGAGCCAATCAGCGCTTGGAAAATTTACTACCATTAACTCGCCGTGAAATCTACTGACGCGCGAATCTCTAAAAACCCTTGTGTTTCGTAATGCGCTCAAGACTTTTCTGTACTTCGGTTTTTCTTGAAGCTGGTCTGGCAAAATGGGGAAGACGAAAAAGGATACGAACGCTAGAGTGGCTGGGCGACGAGAACAAACAAAAGAAAGCGCGGAGCAGCAAATGCGCATGGATAATATTCCAATGGATCTCAATGACTTCGACGTTTCATCAGTATCGCACTCAACAAAAGAGTCACTGTAAACATCGCTGTTATCGCTGTCAAGTTCCCAAATTTTTACAGAGCCTTTCTCTTCTCTTGACTTGATCTTTTTGCCCGCTTGATACGATGACTATAGCTTCATCCGCGAGGCCAACTTTCGCTTCTTCACTCCGAGATGTATTTTCATTCGTTCTTCGCTTTTTCGAACTGGTAGACAGAGTTTTCCGTGGTCCATGTTTACTTATAACTTAATAGAATTACACCTAATACGAACAATGCTTAGATTAACAATGCTGATTAACTGAGTAGCCAGCCAATTTGTGGTATCCATATAGGTAATATTCCCGCGAAAGTAGTCTCGGTTGATTGCATACACGTTATAGGGCTGTCAATCAAGAGCGAACTTTTACTTCCGCCCATAATGTAAAACCTCCATTTCTCCGCCAATACTATGTTTTTTTCAATTTTGTTTTCAGAAATTAGAGATTACTTTTCGACCATTACTTTGACCCAAAAATCCAAATTTGAAGAAAATTGCCGATCTGAAGGTATACGGTAACCATAATGTAGATACCATCTTATTTTCTAACAGGCAATTTGATTCGTTCTTTGATACAACCCGCACTGTGATTGGTGCGACACGCGCACGTGCATAACTCCCTCACTCACCGATCACATAGCCCTTCCAACCTCCAAGAGGAATTTTTGCTCAAAAATACTCAAGCCAAT